ACTCCCCCTACTCCAGCCCCTCTCACCTCCCCGGCCTGGCCTGTGTGCCCCTACCCCGCGATACCCCTGCCCCCTGCCTCTGCTCAGCAACCCCACCTCCTGGCCCACTGCAACCCTTCTGGGACTCTGTCTCCTCTTCTCCCCCTCCCCCCGCCTCCCATGTGGATCCCAATCTCCTGTCTGGCTCTCTAAACAATCCCCCTTCCCTCTACTCTCTGGGCCCTGATCCCTCTCTCCTCCCGCCGCCCCTCCACATCTGCTCAGGAACCCAGCCACCTTGTGCTGTGTCCTGACAACCTCACACCTGCCTGGGACCCAGGTCATTCTCCCTCTCCCTTTGTCTGAGGAAGGGGAACTCTGGTGTTCCCAGTGCCTATGTCCCCAAGTCCCTTCCTGTCTGGGACAGGAAAGCTTTATTAAAATTGGAATTGTGATCCCATTTAAATAGGCTTGGTTTTAAATAATACACCTTTAAAATTAAATTAAAAATTGTTATGGACTAAATTGATCATAACCTATTTAAATAACTTATGAATTAAATTTAAAAATTAAATAGAACATGTCTCCTGTCAACATTTAAAGAAATTCCACCAGTTCACTAGTGTAAGTACCCAGAACCACTGTTTACAACAAGACTCCTTGTCACTTGTGTCTTGTTCTGGACAGCTGAGCTGGGGAGTTGAAACAAAAGTTCTCTTAACCCCTTTGAACTGTTTCATTGTATAGTGAGGCTGATTTTTGTCCACGGACACCAAGAGTTGGACAGCTTATGGGTTGGGGTTGGAGTCTGAGTGATTATAAGGCTTCTAATAATAAAATCCCTTTGCAGAGTGAGGAGTGGGACCGGGACTCCAGCACTAGGCGATGTGAACAGCTGCATGCTTTGGAAGTCTTTAACTGGCTTGCTGTGGATGAACCTGCCCTCCCATTGTCCTCACGTGGGGAGTCCCTGGCACTGTCCCAGGAGATGAAAATGCACCAGGGTTTGGCTCCCTCTGAAGCGCGCGCCCCAACCCTCAGGAAGCCGCACAAGCTACATTTGCACACGCACCCCCAACAAGCTGTGCAAGCTGCATTTGTGCACGGACCCTCCCCGGACAAAAAAAAGGGGGGGGAGGCAGCAGCCAAAATTTTTTTTACTTGGGGCGGCAAAAAACCTAGAGCCAGCCCTAACTGTATTCCAGAGCATCATATGCTATGAGGCAAAGGGGGCAGCTCCTCCCTGAATCACGATTTGTCCCATCCCTGTGACTTGAGTAGCCGATAAATGTACAAGCTCTATCTTCCATTTTTTCCTCCCTCAGGTTTTGCAGGTTATAATATAATCACATACAACATCCTATATGCTGGACACTAATTGGCCACTCACACAACTAGACTATATTTAAAGATACAATTTGTTAACTGTGACAGCTTTTTAAATGTGGAGACCAGAGTTACAATTCTGGCTCAGGCATGAATTGAGCATAATTTTGGTAACTTCATCATAGTCTTCTATTCATCCAAGACTCAAGCCAGGAATGGCAAGAATGATAAAGTCAGGACTGAACTTCAGTAAAAGACAAGTAGATGAAAACAGTATAGAACAGTCCTTTTTCTTCTCAAATCATCATGTATTAGGCAAATTAAAGAGGCAGAGTTTTATTTTGGAGTGTTTATCATTACCTGTCTTGGAAGCCTCAAAATAAATTCTGTCTAATTTCATTAGACAAATAATAATTTTCTTCCTTGCAGTTTTTCTAACAGAACTGAAAATTAACGTAGAATTTCTCTTTGTTTCCCCCTTTTATACAGCAACATTTTCTAAAGTGAGCAGAGCAGTTCTAGAAACAAGGGCTACTTTTTTTTTTTCTGATCCATATTTATAAGAGGAAAAGAAAGATTGTCCTGTATTAACTAAGGCTATTGGCTGTATATTTCTTGCCAACAGAAATAATAGAAAGGCTTTCTTTAAGTTTTTGTTATTTAGAATCCAGAGAACATACTTTGAGAAGAATAGAAGCTGTCCTATATTTTGAGTTTGGAGCTAGGCAAATAATAAATTGCAGTTCTTTTTCATATTTGTTTAAATCTTTGGATGATTGATTTCAGCTGTATTTACACTCTTTTGGGGTTCTCTATCCACTAGCTTTCACATGACTGAGTTTACTAGAACAAATGCACCAGCAAAGTGAATTTTTAGCTTGTACATTCTAATACTTATAACAATGAATTGAAAATCATGTTGTGCATGCATTTGCACGTAAACCTGAAAATACAAGAGTTATATTTATCTAGACTAATAAAGTCAATCACAAATAAGGAACTCTGCTACCCTTTTTAATTTTCAACAGCAAGCCAAAAATAATCAATATTAATAAAGTTATGCCAAATAATTTAAAATAATGAATAAATATGAAGAAGTCGCAATTTGCTCATGAACCGTCTACAAAATCTTGGTCTAACTTTGAAAAAAAAATTCATTAACAATTATTTATTCAGCTCTTAAGTAGTCAATAGAATCTTTTTTAGGAAAAATTATCTAATGTACATGCCACAGCAGAAACATTGTATCACTAGTAAGCATTTAAAACTAGAAAAGGAATTCAGTGATAACAGATTGTTTAAAAAAAAAAGAGACTATACTTACTGGAAAGAACTGTAGTGAGGAAGATGTAGTCAGAAAAAGAGATGAGCCCACATTCTCCAAGTGTATAAAATATACTGTCTTCATCCGCAAACTTCTCTCGTTCTTGGGATAACTTCTATTTTACAGAACCAACCCACACACCCCAAACAAAGAAAATAAAAGAACCAATTAAACATTTAAACAAAAAGGATTTTTATCATAGCTACCAACAAGATGTTTTTTTAAATGAACACCTCCCTCCTATTACCATTCCAATTCAATGGACCTTTTCCAGACTTCAAATCTATCAGAAGTAGCATGTGTAAGTCCAAGGTGTTTTATGTTTCTAATGCAGCACAAAATGGAACAGGAGAATAAATTTAGCATCTTTAGTCTAATAGAGACAAACAACATATGATACGCTTTTTATTTAGTGCTGTATAAATTCTCTAGCAAATAATGGTGCTATACAGTCTAGGGTCTTTACAATAGAATTAAAAATTGCAGCCCTACTGAGTCTCCCCCATCCCCAAGGATTTTATTTTGTTACAATTGCCCTAGTTTAACAGTAGCTTGGAGCAGTTTGGTTTTAATATGTGAACGGATCACAGTTTCCCAAAAACCTAGGTACCTGATAAAATGCTGCTATAACCCAAGCCTTTGCTTGGAAAAGACATCTACTAGAATAAAAATGCCTGCATGAAGGCATGCAACTTTTAAGATGACTGGAAACTTTTTTTTAATTAGAAAAGCATATTACATGTATTTTATCAGCTAATCTCACTGCTAAACTGAAAGCTATTGAGTGACTGATCCACTGTAGCTTCAAAGACTGAAAAGGATCCATGTAAATGTATTAGAGGTTGGATACTGAATTTCATACTGGTGAACCATTTAGAAAATGCACGCACACGTACAGAGAGAAAGAAAATTAATATAACACATTAAGTGCAGTTCAGATTAATCCATATCTAATCATGCAAGCGTAGAAGCAAAAACAATGCAAGCTTAATTTAGCAACAGTATCATGAAACAAAAACAACAAACACCACCACACCAAGGTCCAGCTACACAAGTGCCCCAATCTGTTACCTCTGTCTAGCGAAGATCCCATCATATATAAGATAAAGGAAAGAAAATAGGTTAACCAACAAGATAAGTTTACAAAACATCAACACTAACTGATGTGTTAGACTAGCAAAATCAAGGAAGATTTGCAGCAACTATTAGCTGCAACTATACACTAAGTAGCCACCAAGCATTGACATTTAGTCAAATGTTCACACCTACCATCTAAAGCCATCTCCTTCAGCTATACTTGAAAAGAACTCACCATTCTACTTGACAGCAAATTGGAGATTAGTTTGCCTAATAATTTAGAAGACGGCTTGACAAATATCTGACTTAGAAACCACAAGAGGAAAAAAAAAAGTCATGTTGATCAGCAAATTCATAATTTCAAGTTAAGCTCAGCTCTCCTGATCAATAGCTCTTATTTTGAAGATTTGGAGTTGTTTAAGAATGTGAAGTAAACCCCCATAGATCAGCAGAAGCATTTATCAATACTTCCACTTTGCACAGACATTAGCAATACATAATCACAGTACATTAGGCAGTGTTTTCTTTTCATTAAAGAAATATTTTGCTAACTGCACAAAGTTATGTCAGACTCTACCCAAAAACACTCACACAATGTTTATTATGTTGAAGATAAATAAACAGCCTGTAGTTCTCTCTGAATGCAATGGAAGCTTGAGTTAACAGCTAGTGAAAATTTTTTTTTTTTTTTTGCAACCATTTTCTTGCATAATTGTCATGACTGCTGTATCCCTCAATGGTATATCCCACTTGTGTTACTTATTGGCTCTGCCTTTCCATTTGTTTTTTTGCAGAGTTCACTATAAGCTACTGATACCCAGATATATATGGAGTATTTACAGAGAAAGGATTAATAAACACTATATAGTGTCTGAGGTGTAATTGGAAATAGATTTTAATTTTTATGAGTATTATGAATTTACACATTGAAAATGGGCTTTTATTTAATATTAAAGGCTGGAAAAGATCCTTATAAATGTAAAGTTATTTGAAAGGACTAAAAGTACCCCAAACTAATTCCAATCAGCTCTCCACCTATGGTTAAGCTCTGCTGTTCTGCAAGATAGACAAGGTAATATATTTTACAAATTCCCATTTTAATGAAACAGCCATTTGGTGTGAGAAGAAAAGGTAGACCACACTTAGTTAAACTGAGTTTTAAAATGATGAGCCCATCCCAAACAGAAAGAAAGAGTTTAACACTGAGGATAGAAGGCAAACCTCACTATCTGTTGTGAAACAAGATACAGCCGATCAGATATGCCAGAAATAAAACAATCTCCAAGGACTGGCTTTCTTATACTGTTAAGAGGTTAGCCAGGTATTGAAGATACAAGGTTGAAAACTTCACAGGTAATTCTTAGTCACACTAATAGAGGAATGTGTAAGACAAATAAATGGAACTGTATCCATATATTTGAGTGTCACCTAACAGGAATTTTACTAGGTGTTTTTTGCATTTGTTTGCTCATCATCTGAAAAAAAAAAAAAAAGTATCGGCATCTAAAATAAATTGCAATACTAGATGTAAAGTTCCCTCAAGGATTCTGAACACCACAAAATATGAAACAGAATCACAAAGATTGTTTAAAATGCTTCCTGAAATGCTGGCTATTGTTTAAAATGCTTCCTGAAATGCTGCAAAGCCTATTGTCATTTAGCGCAAAATCGATAGCCAATTCTCTCTTTACTAAAATATATTTCCTTTTGTCTATAAAGCTTTGACTTCCACCTTTTGTACAGTCTATTTCTTCTGTTTTGTCTCAACACAGCATGAGTTATATTACAGCTGAAAGGAGGAATTAAAACAGAGAAATGACAGAAAGGAAAGCAAAATTAAGCATTAGATTTAAATTCTTTAGGCAATGAGTCTTTACAATTGGCCTGATTAGAATTTGTACAATTTCAGTAAAATATTCACATCATGTGCTTGAATTAAAATGACTAACCAAGCATTTTCAAATAAATTTTAAAAAATAATAATTTTCAATACTTAAAATCCATTCAAAAAACTGAGTAACCAGTGACAATCATACAGCATCGCCTGAAGAACATTTACAATTGAGAATTCATAAGGAGCAATTATCTGGAAAAAAAAACCCCATTTTTATCAAGTAGTGAATCACATTAGAGAAGCACACAAACAAGCATACATACACGTAAAAATCAAATATTTTAATTCATTACAAGCAAGTCTGTATATATTCAGTGAAAATGTGTCAAATTCAGTAATTTCTATCAAACAGATTCATACTGTCAATTAATCTTACAAACTTTGCTAAACATTGACCGTGCAGCTGAAAAGTTTGTTTATATTTTAAAAAGGAAGCTCAGGCAATCCATATAATTTCGGCTGTCTAGCAACAGGCAGATCCAGGAATGACAATGTAGTCTAATGGAAGGAAGAAAAAACCAACTATTTACACTGATGTATGTTCTTGCTTTTCAAGGAGTTGTGTGTGTTGCAATAAACACCAGAAAAGCAATTCCATCATTTAGCCAGGAGTTCTGAGTATTCATTTTAGTAGCCTTTCCTCTTAAGACAAACACAGAAAAATATGAAAATTGTTTCCCAACTTTATAAACTGTCAAAATCCTGACAAATATAAGGTCAAGAAAAATGTTTTATTTTTCTTACTCTGAGCTAATGGAATTGGAGGTGGGCAGGGATGTTGATTTATAACTTCCTTTTTTTTTTTTTTTTTAATTTTTAGTTCTCAAGTGACACACTTATTGAGGCTGCAACCAAGCAAAAGACTGAAAAGCATTACGCAAGCTTCCGCTCATATTCTTGCAGTGCATCTTGATGTTGACTTGCAACGCTGCTAGACTCTAGAGGGGGACAATTTTCCGTTGCACACATTCGTGTCAGCTAAACCAAATTTGAACTTAGGTTTTATGTTAAACCCAACTTGGTAATTCTCCACTACTCGTTTTCTATAATCTCTGGAGATTGTTTTGGAGGTTTTTTTTAAATTAGAAGCAAAATAATAATAATAATAATAATTTATCCTTGAAGGCTCTTTTAGGAGAGAAGTCCAGAGTGTTATATAAAAAGGACTTGGTGGTGAACTCACTCATTACTACAGGCAGTCCCCAGGTTACGTGGATCCGACTTATGTCGGATCCGTACTTACGAACAGGGCTTTTCTCGCCCCGGAGGACGCGGGCGGCAGGACCTCCCAGACGCGCCGCGGTCCCGCCGCCCGCGTCCTCCGCGACAAGAAAAGCCGCTCCGCATCTCCTGGTCTGCTGGGTGGGCCAGCAGACCAGGCTTTTCTCGCCGATGCCTGGGGTAGAGCAGCTGGGTCCCCAAGTCAGCCCCCTGCCTCGGGCGTCCCGTAGTCCGCCCCGCGGGCCGGTTAACCA